ATAAGTTTGCTATACGGTATAGGTAATATACGGTTGGATAGTGGGCGGTAGCACTAGTACTCCTGAAACGATCCGAGAATCGAAAAAAAGAGGAAACTTGCCCAGGCTCACCAAGTTTTCTACTTCACAGACCCACGCTCGAGTGTACAAAAATATTATGTGTACATTTTGCAGCCTCCACAAAGAGTAGTAAGTAAACCAACCAAAACTTCCGCATTTTCAAATGGTGGTTGGATGGGTGGCGCATCCTCGAAAAGGCTGGTCAAGGCTAAGGAACATTTTTTCCCATTCCGTGGCGTATTTACTGGTAGTGGGGTAGTGGGACGGGGGGGGGGGAGGTCGCCGGTCTCTTCACGGTCAGAGGTTCAGACTTCGGATAGGACTTCACCGAGGCAAACTCTGCCTCCCTCAATGGTCGGACAGCTGGTGTAAAAAACGTTTTGAGATGATAAGGAACATAGCCCCGCGCGTCGGATTGATAGCCATCGACGTCCGTGCACGTCTTAATGGTTCAGATGCAGTGAGCTGCCACTTCGTTTATGAATGGAGGTGAAATGCGTGGCACACCCCGAAAGAGACTAATAAACGCCGCTGTCCTTTTTTGAGTGTTTCGCCGGAACCCCGGCTGACTTACCTCAATTTGTAAGCACAGACGACGTTGTAGTTGAATTCGCCTCCGGCTACAGCACATCCCACATGGGTATAATTTCCACGGGTCAGCTGAAATGTCCAGTTACGTGCCAGGTTATTTTCAGATGATATAGTTGTCCCTGGAAAACAACAAGTACCCCTACCTCTACAAATTCCGTTGCAGGAGTGGTGACATTTCGGTTGTCCATCAAGGCGTTCATGACGTCCTGATCGATCTTATTTCTCAAATCCCACCACGATCTAACTGCCTGAAATTCATGGAAATGTGGCTGTCGATGTCATTCACAGCGCAAGGCTTTTCACCGAGTCTAGTAAGCAGAAATTTTTCTCATTCAACACTCGAGAGGTCGTTTTGTGTCCAAATCTAGCACTCGCGCTGATGAAGAAAAGCCAATAAATTCCCACTAACGCTTAAGCGGTGAAAAAATCTCAGTTGGCAGGTTTGCTCGGGAAAACTCCATTTCCGATGTGCCTGAGGTTTTTTTTTGGTACGGTAGGTGCGATCTGCTTGACAAAAGCAAATACTCAATCAGCAGCCTCGTTGCCATCGCCTGAGGGGAGAGTGGGTGGGCGTGGTCCGTGAAGTGAGCCCAGCGTCTGGGTCTTTCTTCATCTACGGTACCCGTTTTTATGTCATTCTGAACCTACACAGCCTATGTAGGGGTGCAATCGATACATCAGAATGAATCGACTCATTCAGATGAATGCAACCGTTACCTATAAACACTTTCCTAAAGCCAAAGTTTGTCTATGAACTCTTGAGGAGGCTCAAAACTCGTACTGTGGTCTGGTCCTTGGTGTGCTGCGAGGTACCTGGTGATAACCTTCTAAACATGGAGTTCTATGTAAAGGCAGCCCATCAGAAATCAAGGTAGAGGTGGTCAGTGGAGCAGAGATGAAAAACGCCATGAAAAACGGCCTAGAACTCGAAAAATGGGACCCTTGTCCACCTCGATTCTCGCATCGCTCGGTGCGAATCTCATCGGTGCGACCCTCTTCAACGCTGGCGCTATCTTTGCTGAACGTCTAGCGGCTCGGACGGCGGAAGGTGGGCGTGCCGCGGCGATGACGCCGCAGGGAGGGCCATGTCAGATCGCCGGGGCATAACCTTCGCTACGAATTGCCTGTCGTTCCGCACCTTTAGGGAGTCCGCCTGTCTCTCCTCTAGCTAGGCCTCCCCTACTTCGACCTCCGACCTTATGGAATCCTGCTTCAAGCGCTACGTCCCTACTTCGATAAGCTCCTAACCCTTTTCGCTGGCTTTTTGGATGTCAAGTGGACCACGTACTGATTTCTTGAAGGATCTGCCAAAGATGAAACGGTCCTAAGGGTATGGGACAATTTGTTGTGTGGACAGGATGCAGTTGAGCACGAGTAGAACAAACGTGCCGTTATTCCGACTCGAAGCCGCAAAGGCGTTAAGGCCTTACAAAGTGAGCTAACGACAGCAAATGTGAGCTAATGGACGAGATACCTTGCGTACATCCCGTGACCCGCAGCGTGGATTACGAGGTAGCGTCTGATTCAAGCGAGTGTTGGCAGAGACATTGAGCGAGGAAGATCAGAAAACTCGTCCAGCCACGCCCCTCCTCACCTCAAAGGAAAGGAGTAGGTTTTAAGGCCTCATCGACGGTTCCCTGTGCTTTTTTTTCATTTCAGTCAACTCGGCCCCAAACTCTCATCATCAACCGCTTTACCCCACCAAAATAATCGCGACCCGTGCCTTTGAATCCTACCTTTTCTGTGGCCTTCAGCTCGTCCTCAGCCGCGGTTGCATTGAAAACGGCCAAATTCATCCAATTCCACTCAGCAGGACCAGCCAGTGGAGGAGGAGCATCGGCCGTCGCCGCAGCCCATTTTTCTGCTTGTTCTTGTGCTACTTTCTCTAAACTCAAGAGGTATTCCTGAAATATGAATCGAATAAATACGTTCGAAGATTCTCCGAGGAAATATCCTTCCTCACCAGTCTATTCATTGCAGCTGCTGCTGGAAAGGTGACATTAAGCTCATTTTGCGCTTACCCAAAGCGATTGTAGATCTGTAACATACTGCTTTAAAACTGAAATGCCAGGAATCTAGTACTTGGAATGAGCCCATCGAGGTTTTAAACTGGAGTTTCACAGAGGGTACTGACTACAGGGTAGATTTTTTAGCGCTCCCTTTTAAGGTCTTCCTCCCTGAGCTCAAAATGCTTAGCTTGATGAGAACGGGGCCAACGTAATGAAGTGTCGGCTCGAGTCAATTACCGTTTGCGGGTGCGTCCATTTCGGCTCTCAATCGGATCATGGTTGGCTCTCGCGATGCTCTCAGAATTTCTTGCTCGCAGCTCTTGCTTCTGTTCTCCCAGATAAACCTGGGTAGCGCTACACTGACACAAATGACAGAAGTGGCGGACCGTTTTGGCAGAAACGATGTCTCCTCACCACATAATTGCCGCCTGATGTCAAGAAGCAGAGCCAACTCGTTCGAATGTCCGCTGGGAGTAGGGGTTGGGCGGTCGACCTGACCATGGGCATTAGGTACCGGACAGGAGGCCCATCGCGCGGCAAGAAGGCAGAGTCAGCTGACGATCCGCAACTCGTACTGTAGAGATTTCGCGTCAATTAGTGAGAATGTGCCACTTGCACGTCCTGCATCGCACATCACGGCGCGACAACTCCGTCACTGTCTGTGCATTCTTCCCGCGTGACGAGCCGCCTGTCGCATACCCGGGTTAATGAGACTAGAACGGCGACGCGCGCGACAACTCGTGCAGCGGTTTTGATGAATTTCGCTTGACGGTCCATAAGTAAGTTGTGGTTGAGGCTATATCACTAATATGACCAAAGCGCTAGGTCAGACCGCTTCCAACGCCCTTACCCAAGGTGTTGCCAGATTGACTGCGCGCCTTCCAGCTCGCAATCACGCCTTTAAGGTTACAAACCCGCCTGCTCTCATGTCTTCGTTTCATATTCACCCAGAATAGATTGTTTTCCGTAAATAACTACCATTCGATTGGCGGGATTGTCTGAACCTTGGTGGATCCCTTGAACCTCGCCCATAATAAAATTGCGCGTTACCTTTACAAATTTATACCAAAGGAACATTCCGTATACCTACCTGAACTCATTATGTAGGTCGAGCGCTCGTCTGGCAACAGGATTTGTGTAGCACAACGATCTGGCGATGCATACCTCAAATGGAGATGCCGTACAATCACTATCAAGTACACACGGTGTACCGACATCGTAGAGAACGTCTCCATTGCTAATGTCACTAAAGAAGCAATCTTGAGTCCTCTTACTGAAGCGAAAAATCTTGTGAATGAAGCTGGACTTAAAGACAGTGACCATGTGAGCCAAGGAAATGCAGAGCGGCGTCGCAAGGGCGTCGCGCGACTACTGTACCTAATTATTTTATCGCGTAGATTCCACGGCTCTCACTTTGCAGCTGGCAGTTGTCGCGAGCGATGTTCTACTTGTTGCTTCGTCGCTGCCGCAATTCTTACTTCCTGACCCACACCGTAATGGTAGTGGGTACACTGGGCCAGCTCGTCATCGGCCATCCAACGGTGGTCACACACTATCGGCAACAGCCTGGCTTCTAGTCCAGCGTACCCTCTACCCTCTGCCTCCAAATGAAGTGTAGGCCTAATGTGAATCTTGCGGCTTTCATGGCGATCAGGTACGGATGAACTCACGGTGAATTAAAGAAGCAGATTGAGGTAGAGGAGTTTTTCTCCCCACTGGCGCATGTCGCACTTGAGCATCCAACTTTTGTCGTATTGGCCCGAATAATCTGAATTGCTTGGTCTACTTTCTATCCATTTTCCATGGTAATGTAATAGTAAAAATGTCACGAAACTAAATCCAGTTCTGAAAAATATATAATATTTCATTATTTTGTCATAGCAAGACCTTGAGATTGCGTTCATACTTGGCGAAGGGTGTCCCCCAAGAGGCCCGTCGCGCGGCGAAGGAAGAGACGCAGATGCGGCAAAGGACGAGTCGCAGCGCGTGCTGTGCGATATGAGACGTAGTATGGTACACTCTATTTAACCTGACGCCTAACCGCTACAGTATGCGCTGCGACTCGTCCTTTGCCGCGTCTGCGTCTCTTCCTTCGCCGCGCGACGGGCCTCTTGGGGGACACCCGGCGACCAAGCATAGACGCAACCCCCGAGTTCCGGGTGCCAATGCACCGTTTCACCCGGCCAGTTGTCTTCGATCGATGGTCATTATTTTGTCATTTTCACTAGGACGCAGAAGGGAAAGGCCCACACTCCACGTCGTTGGCAGCAGCAGAAGCTAGTATTGGCAGTCGAGGAGGCAACTTTGGCTGTACTTCTCAGTGAAGCTTAGTTGCAATCGATACTTGTTTCCTACAGGGGTGGCCGGCCGAAAAGTTCCTTGGAGTAACCACCCCAGATGAAATCTTGGGGAACAATCTATTCTGTAAGTAGGATAGAGATTCCTACGAGTATCACACAAGCGCCGTTATCGCGGTCCAAAAGAGCGCGTCAAAGCGGCTCACAGTAAGCTAGTGAGAGCCAATGGACGAGATACCTCGCACACATCTCATGATACGCAACGCGAATTACAATGTAGCGGCTAATTCAAATACTCGGGTCAGTGGCGTCATGGAACAAGCAAGTCAGAAAAGTCGTCCTGACACGCCCTTTACTCACCTCAAAGAAGGAGGGTACCAGGGAGGGAGGGTCCTTGTTGAGGCCATCACCGGTGGTTTCTTCGTTCTTTTTTCATTTCAAATCAACTCGGGATTTCATTATCGACCGTTGTTACCCCACCAAGTTGACCCAGTTTCTCGTTGGTCTCTTGTTGCTTTAGGTTTAGAGCCCTGTGGAATGGCTCTTAATCCAAATAACCGTTAAACGAGTGGTCTGATGATTTCTATGGTGTACAGAAAAGCCAATTCATTCTGGATGGGTGGTGTAGAGGCTAGCGGTTAGGCTCACTGACGAGTGTTTTAATCCTCATCGAAATACAGCCTAGGCCAACCAAGCCTTCAACACTTCAAGCTCGGTCAATTGGTACCAAACTAGTCTGAGAGGACTGAAGGCATAACTTGGGATGGATTGAGCTTAATGTTGCGAGGAAAGGGTCAAGGACTGCAGGCGATGGACGAGGCGATGCTATGGCAGGAGATGCTCCAGAAATGATGTTATCAGACGCCGTATGCTGCTCTGCACACCTCATCAGTCCATCCACCCACCGTGGCAACATCGAATCGTTTGCGTCGTCTCGCCCCTCTTCTCTCGTCTCGAACTCTTTTCTTTCTCGGCGCATAACCTCTCAGTATCTCTACTTGTCTAATTCTTGTTCGCCTCCACATTTTAGAAAAGGGATGTTTTGATTTTGTGTTTTCAACGGTTCCTCTTCATTTTTCTTCACAGGCGGTCCACATCCGCATTCCTACCTGCCTTCTTATGATCATAGTCAACTATTTTTTTCCCTTTTTAGTTATCTTTTTCATCGTAGAAAGTAAAAACTCTCACATTTGAAAAGCTTTGAAGGTTAGGGTTACCAGTAGACTGAAGTGTTGAATTTGCCTCATTGAAGCCAGGCTGTGACGATTGCCGAGGAGCATGTACGGGGGTTTAAAAGACGTTCGGTGACAGTTCTATAAGGGCCGCCATCGAAGGAGCTGAATTATCGAAGGAGTCAACAACAGTGCATCCGAGAATGAGACGATGCTTGGTCTTCTTGAATGCAGGAAAACCTCACTATTCGTAACGCCTGCCGAACCGTCGGATTCAATGTTGCGGCCGTGGGACAGTTTGTCACTGCTTCATTCGCGAGGCTTTCCAAGTCGCAGTCCCATGTCTAAAAGCTCAGAAAACATTTCGACTATGTTACTGAAAAGTAAGTTAGAGGGCGAATGGAACTTTCAAATTGTTCTCTTTATGGGGAAATGGCTAAATGTGAAAAGTGGGCTCAAATGTCGATGATATTTGTCATGTTTTGAGGTATTTTCAAAGCATTTGTGGACGCTACAACCAAAATCAAAGGAAAGCTTTCCGCTACTTTTTCGAGGTTGTTAGAGGTAGATTATAGAGGCACAGAGATTTCTTCTATTTTTGATATGTATTTATTCAAATGAATTTGACTGAAACCATCAGCTACGCTTGTCGTTTCTATTGAGGACGGCGCGGCGTTCTTATGAGCCTAAGATGACTGTCTAATTGTCCAGAGCAGAAACGTTCTCAATAGTGTAAGAATTGCCATCATTCTCCAAATCGTTAACTATCTGCATGGCCTATCTTTCTTCAACAAAATATTTTTCATATCAACTAACAAATTTCCATCGTTTGTGAGTATGGGACCACTCCCAAGGACTCACCTTTTCTTATCATTCATACAGGGGATTCGAATATGGGACATATGCGAGCTTGCTGCACACCTAATCTGCCATTGCCTCGTGCTATTCGCCTCTAACGAAGAACAAGCTCAAGTCAGAGCACTTTCTGAAGCAGGATGGTAGAGGAAAAGAATCGCTGCCCCGTCGTGTGGAAGAAGTGGCTACAGGATTTGCATCAAAAGAACAAGCTGGATTCAAACGTAACTCCTCCACGCGCGAACACATCATGGCCGTCAACTTACTAATGGACAAATGTCGTGAGTAGAGAAAGCCTTACATCTTTATATCGACTACCAAAAAGCTTTTGATACTATTCGAGACCTTTTGGATGGCATTGGAGACGTTCGAAGTAGATAACTGCTCAATTTGAATAATAATTCAGTTTTATGCTGCGGACCATTGCTTTTGGCCCTAGGGCCCGATGGAGGGTGGAGATTGACATTCAACGAGGTGTTAGACAAGGCGATTCCTTATCCCCACTGTTGTTCATTTTGACGCTCCAATCGTGTCTTGATGACATTGACTGGGATGACCAGGTTACCCCATTGAGCAGTATCATCTCAACTATCTCGCCTACGCCGACGATCTGTTTCTGTGCTTCATCAACTGTCGATGTGCTACAATCCTTACTCGATAAACTGCGACCAAGATGACCAGACTTGAAATGGGTGCAAGCAAAACAAAAACACGTCCAGCAACCCTAACGGACAGCAACTCAAAGCTAATGTGGAGAAGAAATTGAGCTAAGAATTGAGAAATTGATCTTCGTGTATTTGGGCCAACTTCTATGTTCTTATATATTCTTGTGACAAATTATATATATCAATCTATATATATTATATCTCTTTGTAGCACTAGACACAAGAGTCCGGAGGCATGCGCCAAGCTCCCATGGATGAAGCAGAGCAAACTCACGTTGATGACCATGGCCGACGGTCTTCGTACATGCTTGTTACTTCTCGCTCTCTATCTGGGATGATGTACGTGAGCGCTCAGCAAAGCAGTAGAGGATATTTATTAAGAAAAAATATATATATTTTTATCGAGGCGCAACAGCTCGAGAGAACCTGAAACTAAAGAAAGATTCGTCGAGCCGTAGAAGCGCGAAATGGCGTAACTATGAGAAATTCTAATATATATAACAGAACGGGGAGTTTGGCTAATGAAAGTAAGCCCTGCGGAAGCAGATCCAGTTGGGCGACCACGTATTCGATATGTTGGAAGATGATTTCAAGATCGTTTGCGGGAGCAGACTGGAAGAACACGGCAGACAACTTCTGAATGGTTCCAGATCATGGCCCGTTTCTCTGCTTATGTCAGATGAATAACGGAAATAAATGTAAATATAAGTTGATTAGGTTAAATAGGTTAAATAAAATAATTAAATTAAATAGATTGGTAGTCATCAACTTACCAAAACCTGCATATTTCTCGCTTTTGGAAGGGTCATTCCACCGATTACCATCCACCCACCACTGCTCACATCACTCCGCATTTGATTGTAAGGCTTTTAGAACATCGGTCCGTTCTTCATCCGTTAGAGGGGAACCCCCACTGCATTTTTTGTTCACGGCATAGCTTTGAGTTGAGATCGTCATTCGAATGAGAGTAACCTGAACATTCTGCATTGCAAGAGCTTGATGTACAAAGTGAAGCTTTAAAGGACTTGCCGTCACAATCAAGAAGAGAGGGATCGATGTTGCCATCGTGTCAGCCAAACTGTCACAGCAATCGTGGCGAAAAATGACTTCATTTGTCGTTTCTTCTTCGTCATTCTCTCAATTTCACGGTTCTCCTGAACCGGTCGAAGAGCAATTTAGCGAGCGAGCTGCCCTTCAAGAACTGATTTACTGCTTGGAAATTATCTGCGAGAAGCCATGCAATAATGAAAAAGGAGGCCGAGAGTCTGGTCCAAGGAAAGACGTCAGCGGCAGTTGAAGGCATGCCTTTCTCGGGAGAACCTTTCTGAAACCCGAAAAATGATTAACTTTGCTATGAATACGGTTAGGGGAGTGGTAACGTCTTGGACCACGGAATGTGCATAACTGATAGACAGAGAAGCAAATGTGCGTCACGAGCTCATCTCTCTAGTCGTCCGCAAATCGAGCAGTCCGACGTGGTAGGATGGTTCAAGGGTCGATACCTGCGACCTGTCCCATCGCATTTATCACTGGTCACATCTTATCACCATACAGCAATGGATGTCACTTTCCTTCTTAGCTCTTCTGCTGCTGATGGATGCATTCCCTCTGCGATTTTTCGGGGTCACTTGTATTAGGTTGTCCCATAATTAGTGAATCACTTTGGGTATTTTTGAATTCAATTTTTTTCTTTTTTATTCGAAGTCTTGCTCATCCAAACATACACCTCTGTCATCTACAATGTATTGCCTATACATGGGAATTTATTCGCTGTCTTCCCTGAAATTCAGGAGCTCTTGATCGAAGAAAGATCGGAAGTCGAGTTTGAGGTCATGTGCGTAAAATTTCTTCCTGGGGAAGAGCGCTAGAGGTCAGACTGAGTTGTCTTTGTTGGCACGAGGATAGGGCCACACGGCGGAGGTGGAAAGAACTGCTAGCCTGGGAGTCTCCAATTTTTTATGAATATTCTCCGCAAGGTGGGGTCGAACGACCTCAGGAAAAAAGCAGACTTTGTCTTGCTTTACTTTCAAATTGAACGCGTCGCCATTACGCTGTCGACGTTGATCTTCTTCAGTGACCCTAGTATTACTGGGCGGCGGTTCCCAGCGCAAGGTCACTCTCGTGTTTCACGAATATCTGGAAGGTCGGACTTAGAGAGGTTGGGCTTTTGCTGTCAGAACTCCCGAATCGTTCAGCTACGCTACCGTTCCTTGTGGATTTGATAGCACACTTCCACCCAGTCCACAATCCCAGTGAGCATGCTGGATGATCAATGTAAGGAAGTAAGAGAGATCAGAAGGAA